ATAAATAACAATAATAATAATAATCATAATCCAATTATATTACTTGTTTCTTGTATCCTCAAATTCAATAACATCATCAAATTCATCATCATCTTCAATATTAATATTGTTTTGTTGAACTTCTATTATATCAAATTCTTCGAACTCTTCTTCCTCGATGATATTTTTACTAATATTCGGTACTTCCGGCGACAAATACATATCTTCTATACCATCTTCAACTTCCTCAATAAATTCACTTGACACTTGATTTCTCAAATTTGCATAATATGATTCTAAATCTACATATATAATAAAATATATAAATAAAAATATGGATTTGTGAGTTTACGTATCAGAGTAAAAAGTCACCGATTCTTTTTTACTAGAAAGTTATTAATCCAATTACTTTATGTTCGTGTGCTATATGCAACACATTATCATTAATTAACAAATTATCTCTCAAGAAGTCCAACTTGAATTTCATATTTTTATAAAGTCCACCCACAAGAGCAGCCAAATGTATGATGTGCGTTGGTTTATATTTTTCAAAAATGGCTTTTGTAGCTTCTTTTGACTTCAAATCACCATCTTTACTATTAAGGAAAATCCATTTTTCTCCTGCTTTCTTACCAAATTTTTCTGACTTGTCATTTTCAATAACCCACTCAATCCCTTTACCAACAAGTCCTGACCCACCCGTAACCAAAATTACATTTTCTTCTGCCATTTGTCTTTATATATATATAAAATTCAATTTTTGGATTTCAATCTTTTTTTAAAAAATTTTTAATTTAAAAAAAAATATTAATTTTTTTTTTTTTGATGAATTCTATATTTATACTTGTAAACAACGAATCAAATATATTGATAAAGAACTTTCTTTTTTTTTAAAAAAAAATCAACCAATAAAAATATGTTGCAAATAATTTATTTTCCCCACTATCCGCAACAACAACAATAAATAAAATAAAAAATAATAATAATATTTAATAAAACGATTAGTTTTTTTTTTGTTGAAAAAAAAATTTTAAAATACATTTTTGTGCTGCTGTATTTCTAAGCTTCCGCTTTGCCTTTGGTTTTTATTTTTTTTTTAAATTTTCGTTTAATATTTTATCTTTCTTTTAAAGAGCATCATCATCAATCATGAATGAAAAGGAAGGAGCTACAGACATGAGTGTTTTATATGCCTTGTTGATGAGGGTATCTAGAGCCTTTTTTAATACACAACAAATAGTAGTGTTAGATCAACTTATGAGACAAGAGGAAATAAGTGACGAAAATTTAGCAAAAAATGTTGGACTCACAGTCAAAGAGATCCATAGGCTTTGCGGAACTTTGAAAGAAGCATGCCTTATTAAAACTTGTTTCTCGCTTAGTTGAGTTATGGTCATTTTATTTCGGAACAGTTATTCCTTATTTTGAAGGAGTCTTTCTACCATTGCAAATGCAAGTGGGTTCGCATAAAATTAGTATTAGACGTTTGGTGCTAATGAGTTTTAGAGATCATGTTATTTTACCTATACGTGATAGAGTTGAAGGTATTTTTAAAAAAATTATATATCATATATCTTTATGTTTCACGAGTTTTTTATTATTAAGAATATATGATTTTTCATTTGTAGATGCATTTAATAAACTATTTCATGATTTTGATTCTGGAATTCCTGTAACAGACACTG